TAAATAGGGACGAGCGAGTCATATTGACGGGTATGTTTTCAGGGCGGATGCGTCGATCGTTGAGAGGGAGGAGAGGAAGGGAGTGTCGTTGTAGATGTAAAGTGACATTGGTAGCAACCACTAGTTTTGCGGTGGCGACAGGACAGCCGAAGGGAAGTGGTCCATATTCCTTCTTGATGGGAGGCAGCTGTGGTTCGCGCTTATTGTCGCCATACTTGGCGACAACGACGAGGTATCCTACTCCTGAATCGACGGGCATACGGCTTCTTGAAGCGGCGATACGGTAGTACGCGTCGGCCATTTGCCCAAAGATATTGTCGTGCGAGCGGTATCTCTTGTGTAGCCGTGTGACGTAGATGATGTAGTCTCCGACCTTCTCTTCTAGGATGTAAGAGATACAGGCGCTAGCGGCCATTATCTTGTTTCCAAACATAAGACGTAATCGTATTACGTTGCCGGGCTGCAGGAGGTTGGTGGCAAATGGAGGACCGTCGAGTAGGAAGAAGATTCGTGGACCATGTAGCCACGGGTTGAGTGCTACGAACTGCAAACATAGAGGAGGTGCGCGAAGGAAAAGGTCGGCTGCCTCAATAGGCTGGTAGGGAGAAGCTCTGGGCGGGCGTGTTTGGTATTCTGGTACAAATTCGACAGTAGTAGTGATGTGGACCTCGATGTGGTTGACCTTTTTGGGGCGCTGCGGAAACAGAACCCGGATGTACTGAGGGAGTGACGACCTCTCGGCCTGTGCGAGAAGCGCAGTGGTCTCGTTATCGGCTAGCGGAGTGCCTTCGGGTAGGTGAGGATCGACAGCGAAGGGCTTTGCCCATCTTGTTAGACTACGCCATATATGTTTGGCAATTGCTTTGAACACCTGCATGCTGACTAGGTAGTTGGTGAGTACGGTGGGGGTTGCCTGTTCCTGAACGCGTGTTATGGGCATGGCGTCTACGCGTCACGACTTCCTGATCACGTGATCACAGTACGTTGTGAATTTGGGTGTTTTGGCTATGTCCGAGCGCCAAACAGATTTGGTGCGCGACAGCGATACGGCAGCCACAAGGACATGCGATGCTTTTTGTCAATGTCAGCTCTGGACACTCGCAGAATCTACCATTGCAGACGTACACCAAGTGTCTTGTTGGCATTCTTCGTCTTACGCCGACCCGTTCTCTTATTAGGTGGCGGCAGCTCGGTTCCAGCGGTATCACCATACAGACCATCCATATCCATCAATTGGTGCTCATTTTCGAGGTCCGGAGAGAGCAAACGAGTCGCATGCGTATTGCGTTCGGTCCCTCTGAGACGACCGCCCACGTTGACCCGGAGAGTGATCGCCCTATGAGTCTGCATCACGTGATGCGCTTTGTCATTGACTGACTTGATTCGAGGGAGTTCAGTCCGTGTTCGCTTTCGACTGGAGCCAGTAACGGTGGAACAACGAGCCATGACGGCAAAGAGGACAGCTGAGATTAGGTGGCTGAGAGCAACGTTTCAAGTATTCGCAGGCGTGGGATCTAGATAAGTTGCGGAACAATCCCAAAGCGGCTCCAAAATTCAAGTAGTCAATGTCTCTTGAGAACGTTGGCTTTCAAGCGCGATAGAGTACACGCAATGCATACCCCGAAGTGATAACACAAGCAGTCACAGGTAGGAAGATTCACTAAAGCAGATTTCAGGGCAAGCATCCACAGGACAGTGTGCTTGCGCGCCATTGGCAGCCAGTCCATCCAGCAAACCCCGAACTCGAACGAGTCTACTGTCGGCATCCTTACCCTGCTGACCTGCGCATAATCCGTAGTTGTGTCGTGCAGGATTATTATGTACGATGCACTCAAACTCGTGTTCTGAACGTGAGTTCGAGTCTGTTATGTATTGAAGTAAACGGTGTGATTTAAACCGTATGACAGTAATCTAAGATCATTGTACATTATCATCGAGCTGTAGCAATATCGTAGTGCATCTACCAGGATATATGCGACAGAAGAAGCACAGAAAGTTACTGAGTTAGCTCAGTTCTCCAATTGAGAATATGAAAGGCGCGGCATGGACTTCAACTGTCGTTTTGAAGTCCCCGCATTGGATCGAATGTGTCTTATAGTGTTATCATACCGTAGCTTTGTGTAGATTTGTGTTGCAACAATGCTGGGCCTTGCCAGTGTACAGCCGAGCTGATAATAATCAATGTGTCATGTGTCTATAATCATGCAAATAACACATACTTCACGGCTGTATGTTACTGCTATCAGCACTGGTCCGTGTACATGTACGTCCTGTACAGACATATCTGCACACACACACCCGAAGCGAGTACTGGTATATTGTTGCATGTGCAGACGGTGGGAGCAATATCTGCAGCCGATCCTGTACACCGCGGGCCACATAACTTTTGACACCAGCCTGTACAATTAGTTCCCAAACGTACACTGCGCCGATGAGTATGAGGAACATTATGTACATGCATATCCAGCAGCAATCAGTCCACCGTACATGAGGCAGCGGACATGGATGAAGTGTTGGGCGGCAAGGAAAGTTACCGCGCAATAACTACAGCACGGCGAACTGAAAAGCTGGGAATGATCAGACTGCATTAGAGACATATCAGCGACTTGCTGACGACAGGTGCGAGAACATAACACTAACCATGGCGAAGCCAAGCGGGGGTGTGCAACAAGACGTTGAGACCACGATCGACAATCTGGGCGACGGAGACAGGCCGCTAGCAAAGTGACGAAGTGCCCGTATCCTGTAGATATGGCCTATGCCGGATATCCTCAGCGACGGCTCCGTCGATGACGCAATCATAGAATGCCATGCCATGGACATCGTGTAAAGCGAGGTACCCGCAAGCCGAGTACTCGGAAGCGTGGAGGCGACACCGAAGTAGGGCCCGACATACTGGACGGTCTGGGCGAGGAGGACATGATGATGGCACGTCCGCGTCAAGAGATAATAGAGGATAGGTGGGGCTTGAAAACGGTGGACGGTGGTGACGTCGACGACATGCCTTGGATTAACCGAGCAAGTGGCACTATCCTCGGAATTGTCGGAGACAACCGATGCTGCGTATTCGCAGCAGGCGAGGATTCCATTGATGATGCGGAATAGAAAGGGTCATGCCATAGAACATCGTATGAGGCAAGGTGCCCGCAAGTCGACAACTCGGGGGCGTGGAGGCTACACCTGGGTGAGGACCAACGTCCTGGATGGTCTAGGCGAGGGCCATTCGTCGACGACCTGATGGTGGAATGGTTGCATCCCGAGGGATGGTTGGGGCTTGACGATGGTGGGCGGTCTTGTCGATAGCAACATCATTGAGAAAGCGGCGAAAGGGTTGCGTCGTCAAAGATGGCCAGACGATGGCGAATAGCATCATGCAGGCAAGCAACCTAAGAGTGTACGATTAGTACGAGGGAGTGGAATGAACATCGTCATGGCTCACCAGAACACCTGAGAAGTATGATTGATTGGGAGGGGTTCACAGCCTATTGCAAAGACTGAAGAACGAACAAGCCTGATGAGATCGGGCAGGCACTTCGAACAATGAAGAACACACCGGTGGTCTCGAGTCCTGGGTGCTACGTCAGCCACGACTCCAAGCCCCGTACGGCGTCCGAGGCACGAATAACTGAGTATGTGCGCTGCGTTGATGACGAGCGTTTGTTGAGTAGGACATTGATGCCCAATCGACTTCACGGACAAACGTCCAGCACGACTGCATGATGTGGCATAACCGAATCAACCACATGAACATAGCAACCGCGCCCGCTGAAACTGGATGAGGCTAGCGTCATCTCGTGAATCGCCGGACGACTGAGCAGATGGGAAATAGTTAGCGCAGCCCCCAACACACGAGATACCTCTGGACGCACCGAGGAATTCTCTCATGGACATCCATTATTGCACAAACACCATCCACATACGAGGAACGGACACCGTTAGTCGAGTTAAAAGCAGATGCAAGTCGTGGTTCAGGACAAGAAATACGTGGCATCACGCTCATACATATATATCACACGTCGCACGTGACTGTATATTGATACTGAACGATCAATCACATTCGCTACATATTGCGAAATGCTACGCCATACTCATTCTAGTCGGTTGTTAGATATACGGAATAGTCAGTAGCGTCCAAAACAGCGTTCTTGCGGCCCACATCCTGGTCCTCATCTTGGTCCCCATCCTCATTCTCGTCCTCTGCGTCTACCAGTTCCTCATCAACCGCCTCCTCGTCCCTGTCCTCAAGTGAGGTGTTCTCCAAAGACGAAACATATTCGTGGATCCACGGTTCTCCATGACCCGTCCTCTTCAGTAGTGGTGCCCATCGCTGCACGAAACTGGCGGCGAGCGCACGGCATTGATCAGCCTGTCTGGAAGCGTAGCAATCGGCAGCGAACGAGATGACCACTCCATGACGAGAGCCACGCTTGGACAGCCATGAGTCGGCCTGCCAATGAAGGAATGCGATGATCCGCCGCATCTCCTCGACCAGGAGGTGCACTTCCTCCTGCCATCGGAGAAAGCGGGCGCGCGCAGCTGCCCACATATACAGCATGGTCTCGTCCAGTTCCTCCTCGGCGCTGAGCCGCATGCCATCCACAGACCCATCAAGCTTCAGCACCTGACGTACTAGACGTCCTCGTGATCGCCATATCCAGGAGTCTTCGCGACGCCCTTCTCTTTCGTCCTCCTCTGGATAAGGGCCGCGGATGTCGTCATCTCGAAGCTCGAGTAGGAAATCGCGCCACGAGCCCTTCGGGTTGAGAGCCACAAGCGCCAAACGTGCATCGCGATACTTCAGGGCCAAGAGATGTATTTTGCGACCCACGCCCTTGAGAACGGCCCGGGAACGAGTATTGGCGGACGTTGAACCGAAGACATTAACCTTGTACTTGTGGATCAGCCCCATATACGAGCGTCTCATTCTACAGAGAGCTTCGAGGGCGTCCGCCGCCTCCGCAGTACGCATCTGTTCTTCGGCGCGAACAATACCCGACACGCAGCCCGACAGCGGAAGGCCCGCGGCGACCAGGGAGGATGGAAGATGGACGATACTTCTAGATGTAGATGGCAAAACCTCTTCATCCTCCGAAGCCAGAGCAAGGCACGGCATGAATAGGACGGCAACCTTTGTGAGACTCCTGACATCGCTTCGGAACACCTCACGCTTCCGTTGCAAATCGGCCGTGGTGCAATGGTGCTCTGCTTGCTGTGTCGCTATGTCGCGTGTCATGGCGCGCCTGAATGGAACTTAGCTCACTGTACTCGAATGATGGGGCCGTGGGGGTGACATACTGTCTATCGAGGAGCTTTAGAGCGCGCTGAACGTACTCCGATGGTGAGAAATCATGTTGCAACGTTGAGCCATCCGATTCTGAATCTTTTTCAGTCGCCTTCTCCTCGTCTTCGAGTCGTTTCCGGATCTGATCATATGTCTGCGCTGTGAAACGGACGTCAACCTCCACCAATGAATCAGCGAGGACATCGACAGCACATACATTGCTCGGGTTCGGCATATGGATCCTTCCCTGCCTTTTTGTCCCGTTCAAACGCGTGGATGAGGCCCGTCCACCTCTGGATGGTGCCTTCATCGAAGGTGCTTGACAAATCCTCGTAAAGTTGACGATGCTTGACGCTTTGGTTCAGGGCTTCTGTCAGTGACCAAAACATATTTTTGCCTACCCCATCAGAAGCCTCAGTGAATGCGTCTATCATGAGAACTGGTAGCCGTACCCATATTGATCTTCATGACGTGGTTCCAATTACCCATGTGATCCTCGAGGGCAGAACGCCGACCTTCCGGAGCCATCTCGACGGTACTGGTCGCCACCCCGCCTAGATGAGCCCACTGCTGCTCTATAGTTTCTCCGTGTGTGCGACCGACATGCGGCTGGTGTTGAAAGTCGTATAACCGTCGGCATTTCTTTCCATGACTGGGAAGATGTACCTTCGGCACCATGAAGATGAACCCAATCCTGGAGAACTTCTGAACCAGTTTGTCTGCGTAATTTCGTCGTAGTCGATCCATCAAGTGAATAGACCAGGAGCAAGCGATATCGTACGACGCTACCACCATCGATATATTCGAGTCTGCCAGCGTAGACCAGAAGATGTAGTCCATCGTGACTTGTCTGTCGCACCTTTCGTCAACAACTGTGCATAGGTGTTACGAGAAGAACGTACCGCTCGCCTTTAGTCAGATCGGCGACCGCATTCTTCCTCATGAGAGAATGCCGCGCGCACACCACTGCTCCGAGCCCGGTCACAAGCACCTTCTTGTTGTTGTTCTTAGTGTTCATCTGGCTGACCGCATGATGATGCGCGTCGCAGGGTTCTACATCCTGTACGTTTGCTAAACAAAGGTCCTGGCCTCATAAGAGACGTGTCTTACCTCCTCGACACCATCACTACATTCTTTAAGGTGGTGTTTATATTGCACATCGGAAACAAAATATGCCAAGCCATCGCCTAAAGCCGGGTCTTGGAAGCCACGATCCCTCAATTTCAGCTTAAAGCAAGCGTCCACCCCGATGAACTGGGTATACAACCATCTGATGTAGTAATAAGTACTTGCGCTGTGTAACAACTGATAGGTACGACCTGCGCAGATCCGTCTCCCAGTTGTCTGGGAGATTGCGACCGGGATGCGGACACGCGGGGCATTCCACGGCAAGTCCTCCGACAGGTGTGCCTCGTATTCCTGACGGATCGTTACCCCTGCCGGCTCGTTTGAGCATCTTCAAATGACGCCACTCACGGACGGCAAGGATGGCGTCATGGTACCTCCACTGTAATGCGAGCATGAGCCGTATAGTATCTTGGCCTAGCGAAATACGTACAATGCCAGGCGCAGGTTCCATGTTGTCCGTCATTCGAATCATAGCTTGATAGTAATCGTGCAACGTGAGCTTGCCTTGCAAATTGAGCAGGTGAAAAGTGTTGAGACAATCGAACGTGAAGGCCGTCCGAGGTTCAGCCGTTGTCGCAGGAAACAGACGAAATAGAAGAAGCTGCTCGGACTTGACGGGTGTGCCGCACCCACAGTAGATGAGGCGCAGGCGATGGTGACCATTGGTATGGAATACGACGAAGTTCCGGGGGCCGGGCGTAGAATTCGAACATTTCGCACCGAAACGACAGAGGTGGAGCTTGTAGCCTAAGCCATGAAGGCTGGTACGCTTGAAATAATGACCGTTCCATTGCTGATATCTGGATCAAAGGTTGCACTCCAGGAACCTGGACGCAGCGTACCTCGATACGATGAAACGGCAAGTCTTTATGGCGTCGCAGACAACATTGGACGCATTCGATGGTCTGGCAGCTGAAGCAATCGCGGCATCTGATGGTCGGACTGGGCGTGCCACACGCACGGGTGGTCCCATCGTCGTTGTGAACGACGGTTTGACATTTCAACGTATTTTGCTTGAGACCGGGTGCCTCATGGGCCAAGAGCGCATCCAAGTAGTCGTTGCGGTGAGGGATCCATGTCGCGATTTGTGACTAACGTAGAACTAAGTTAACATCCCACATCATATCCGGCACGACTGGTGTCTGAACATACCCCGATGGTAGTTTTGGTAGCCTTCGGGACAGTTGCCTTGTTATCCGTCGACGGTGCCGGGGTGCATTTGGCAGCGGTGGGTTTTGGCTCGGATGACCCTGCCTTACCCTGCGCAGTCTCCGATGGGGGCACACCGTTCATCCGCAGAGAGATATTCACAGGCGCTACAACTGACGAAGTGGACCGAAGCGTCGTGCGTCCTCGATTATCACGGTCAACATGTAGCTGGCGCACAAGGTTGTTGCCAACGACGTCAACGGTCGGAACGTTGCGCTTCCTCTTCATGGCAAAACAAAGCACTGACTGGTAAAGCAGTGGGGGATAAAAGAAGTCAGAATCGGCAACAACAGGAGAAGACATATAGGATAAACAACACGGCCAGTGTCGTGTAATGTGAAGAGTATCGCAGCCTACTGTCTGGATGTGAAACATGAACAGAAATGACGTACAGTGACACGGTCGGCAGGGCCCTATTCCTTCAATTTGCGGTGTGGTCGGATCCACCGTAAGGCATCGGGGCGTAATCAGCTCCTAGAATGATTGACTGAGGCAACGAAGTTGCTCATGTCGGAAGGCGGTATGATTACGCTGCAGGGTGAAGTGAGCTTGATGTCGAAAAGAAGCCGTGCGGGCCAGTGCACCGACCAGTTGATATAGCTGGAAACCACTGTCAATATGATGTAACTGGATACCTGATTTGAGCTGATTCATTAGCGATTCCGTTTGCATTACTACCACAAACACACCTGGCCTCGCACATCCGTCCGAGCTGAGGAACGGTAATGGTTCCGCATCATTCACTCCAGTGTTTTGATGGATGGTCCCAGCAAACCCGTGCGTCATGCCTGTCCAACATCAACGGAAGATTATGAGCGAAGTCGAGATATAGCGGGTATGATTGGGAGAAGAGGACCAACCGGAAGTATGTAATTGTTAACACGTACGGGGCATGCTGATAGAAATACGTCAATAGGCAGCACTCATAACATGGGGTGATGCAGGACATACGTGTTTAAGGTGCTCCGAGAGCGACACGCGAGACCCCCATCGAAAGAAAAAATCATGCAGAATGAGGACCAAAAACAGGACAGTGATTATCCTATCGTAACATCAAGTCGGTTCATTACGCATATACGGTGAAAGACTTACTGTACGTTCGAAGCACGCGGGTTGCTTGCTGAAAGGGAGTCTCGATACCCAATATGGTGGTTCGGACGGTGACCGCCACCGATGAGCGTGCATGACAGCAGCATCTCTGGCGGGGTCTGAGCATGTGTAACGAGGTAGCGAGGATGAATATGATTGCAGGGGCCGGAGATGTCAGCCAACGTCGTCGCTGTGGCGGTTGTTTGGTCGTGCGGGATGGGCCAGAGGCTTGTCACGTGCCGTGGAGACCGCAGCTGCCGATCGGCATACCAACTGCTTAAGGCATTTTATGCTTCCGTCTGCTAAGTTTGATATGACTTAGAATACGCAAAGCAACTCCGACTAATAAAATGACGCAGACAGCTGGTGTGCACGGAGCGGCCAAGCCGTGCCCTAAGGTTGATAATAATCTTCTCATTGGGAGATGAGTTTGAAGTGTGTAAGGAGTTGCCGGATTTGAGAGGTGTTAGTGTGTGAGTGGCCGCGATCGGACGACCGATCAATCCCAGATCTGCCTTTCATGCGTAGTTCGCAACCCGGAACCTCGACGATAGCAACGATCTGCGCAGGAACTTGAACAATAGACAAGACCACAAATCTCATGAAGATACTTTAATACCCAGGTAGACATGGAACGACAGAGCACATAAGTAAGTATGGCCTAGATGATCGTGTAGGTCGTCGTAGGCACATCTCACATCCACCGACATTTCGGACGCATATATATGCCCTGCGTTTCGAGTATTTCCGATTGCCGTCGGTTACCGCGAGTGAACGATGTACACTGTGGGTGTATGAGCCTCACCAGATGTCCGTAAAGTTATAAACACTATAAGTAGTTAGCGAGGAATGCATGTCTCCTCCAGCAATGGATGGATGTAACACATCCCTTGTCTTCTACCCCTCACTGCTCATACATCGTAAGCCCTATTCCGCTGCAATCGATGTTGCTCGTACGTTCAGGAGATTATGGGAACTCCATTGCGCGGCTGGGACAATTCCAGCAGCACCAAGTGCGACGAGGTCGCTTCACTTTCTAGACCGTCTCCCATTCTGTGAACAGCCCGTTTCGGATATTATAACCAACCTCCCTCACAAGGAGGCCGAAAAGAAGAAAATCGACATGATCTTCGCCCACTACGACGTAACCAGCAAGGCGCGATCACGGCGTGTTGCCAGAGATGTGCTGACCCTGACCAAATTGGTCTCATGGCTTGGGAGGCCTGCCTTGACTTGTTGAACGCCTATCTCCGGGGTCTTATCACTCGCCAATTTCAGACTCTGTGTGATCATGGGCAAAAGGGGAGAAGAACTCGAGTTACTGCCTAACTAGCTTCATCCGGGCTCTTGGTTTGTACGTCTACCGACCTTCTGTCGTTTGCCCATCTCAACTTGTTTTCGTCTTTATGTAGGTGCGCTCAGCCTTTCTTCGCGCAAATCCTGGACCAAGGCGGGGACTTCCTCATATGTAATCTCGTTTTACACCGTATCATTATTTCATACTGTACGATTATCCATGTTATCTTATTCTGACTATGACCTATACCACTTCTCACATTGCCCCATCTTGAGACGCTTTGGGGCATGGTTGCGATCACAAAGGATGAGCACAGAACCGATCATCCCAGGGTTGTTTACGAATATCCGTGGAGAAGCCTGTTTCTGACCGTGGGAGTTTACTTGCAGTCTAGAAACGTCAGAAAACATCGGTCCATCCACGGACAACCCTGCATCATACCTTCCCACTTGCGACATTTGATGAGCTCCTCCGCCAAATTTGCGTCTCTGTCTACGTGGAATCGTCGCCGCTGGCAACTCGTTCCAGACTGTCCAATATTCGCAGTCACTGAATGGTCAACCCATGGCCGGACAGCGAACATGGGGGCGAGCATTCTCAAGTTGGTACAAGCAAGTCAATCTGACTACGGGATCGCTGACCAGCTCAGACGACATCACCTAGACACAACAGTAGGGGGGACGTCTGGGCGCTTCAGTGATGTCCAAGTAGCCGCATGTCACGTCCCAAGTCGCGGATCATGCGGCTAGTCGCAAAACACGTGATATGCCGAAGGGCAGTGGATTCGGAGTCTAATATTATGGCACTCCGACACTCGGACGTTGAATGCGGCATCAAGGCAGCATGCCTAATACAGTATGCCCCGACTCACGGCTCGCTTCGCGCGACTGGGCGCGGTGGTCGAGCGGATAGTCGCAAAGTCGGCGACCTGACTTCGATCCAAAGTTGCGGCGTCGACATCACTGGGGCGCTTCTAGACACGAGGATTCATGAAAGCCGCATTTCTTCTCCTTATCCGCGGCGCAAGTACGTATGATCAATGAGCCAAGTTGTCTCAGCTGATAGTTACTATAGAAGCCACAACATGGGCGGAATACCCTCTGCCCATCCACAAACGTTTCACTACCGTCTGAGTTCTTGTGCTGTGAAATATGGGCCTCGCCATCCAACTCGGTCAGTTTTCCTCCTCGGCCATGCACACTCGACGGCAATGAGACTGCTGTGTCAGTACACTACGGCGCTGAGGCCTTGTGTTGATCGATCGCGGGCGTACCTTTCGAAGGACCTGATTCTGAGCTACAACGTCAATTGGACGCTTGCATTGCGCACGCGTGGCGGGATGGGTTCGTTTTGTATGTCACCGGAACAGGTCGGATATGATGAAGAAGGCCGCTGCCCTTCCATCACGCATCCTTCACCTTGTCCTTCACATTGTCTTCACATCGTCGTGACATGCTTCTTTCACGGGGACCCGGATACTTCTTTTCCGATCACCGGTCTCACATTTCTTCTCTTTAATCCCGTTGTTCCCCAAGCTCTCTGCAGTTGTCGTCGTCCACCAGCCCTCCCGCATGACGAACAGGAAGAAGCGGGTAAGTTCCAGAGCTGATTCCGTTACACCACCATTGACTGCGAAGCAGTATGCCGACCTCCGCCCAGGCGATCGTCAAGAGCTCCTAGAGGCTCTACGCACAAATTGCGTGCACAACGTGGGCTCTCTGCTCGAATTTCTGGAGGATAGTACGTATTGCTCTGGTATCCGATGGATTGTCATACTCACCACTGTGAAGGCCAGAATCCGAATCTCGACGTGGAGTCTGTCATCGTAGGACTCGCTGAAAGTGAATATTTTCATTGTTCTTTGTGCACCGCATTGCTGAATATAAAAACTAGCCGCGCTCGTAGAAAACGCGTGCAATCCGGTGTACGATTCCGATGATGATCTTTACTACCCGCCCTCCCCTGCTGAGACGTCCGCTTTACACAATCTGTCGGTGGCCGGTCGCGCATCGACAGAGGCCACCATCGCTGCCACCCAAGCACCGCGCCCACAGGTTGGCGGATCTCTAGTGGCCACGGTACACCGCGGTAGAGGTACTTCTAGGACCAATCGAAGGATGGATCTGGCCGCCTCCGCCCCGTTGGGACGTGGGATTTGTTCCACCTACGGCTCTGTTCGTACATCCTCCAGCGACGGGGCCTCCAGTGCTGATATGTCCTTCGCCGCATACCGAGGCGAGCGCCCAAGCTCTACTGCTTGCAGCCAAGGTCGGGAATTCGCCCATGGCCGACGCCAATCCAAGTTTCGTCGCGAGGAGACACCTCGTTCGTCGACACCGCGCAGCGAGGGCCCCATTTATCCAATCCACACCCAGTTGCATCCTCCCGCCCAACACCAGCTCCCACCTCACGTCGAAATCCATCCGTCCTGGGAATGGGACGCAAACGACCCTGATGCCCGCAGTCTTATGGAGTTGGCGTCTGGCGATGCTGTTTTGTCACCCACAAGCCGCGAGCCAAGCGATTCGCCTGGTACTACGTCACCTCCCCTCATTTCTCCTCCTGGGTCCCCAGGTCCTCCCGCCGATTCTCTGCTTGTTGCCGGCGCCGGACGGCTTGGTGTTAGACCGCCTGACGAGCGACTTCCGACCCCAGCCTCAGCGAGGCAGCCATCTATTATCAACAATGCCGCCCACACCCATACACCCCATAGCCTGTCGTCTCATTCGTATTCCCGTGGTTGGAACTTGACACCCCGGCCCACCGTCCCTTCGACGGATCCTGGCGCCTCTACCAATCGAACCGGCCCATTCCCAGATCGACCTCGGACCCCCATGCGTGGACGGTGGTATTCGCCGCAGCGTTCGAACGTGTTCAATGCCGCGCCTGTTCCTCGAGAACGGCCCCCCCAATCGCCTCCCCCAGCGTACTCCGTCTACGAGCTGCCGCCGCCATCATCTGCACCATTGTCGGCATGTGGCCTGTCCTCTGTTGACGTATCGACATCCTCGAGTGCTCCTTCCTCAGCTGACACTCCATCGAGGATCGATACTCGGTTGTCCGTGCCCCCTGCTCCGCGTGATGATGCCCCTACTCCTCGTACTCTGTCTTCCATGTATCCTGAGGTGACCGAGTTTCACATACCCCCACCAGACGAACAAAATGGTCCTGGAAAGTACTTCGCGGTTAGGATCGGCTACAATGTGGGCATCTGGAGGGATTGGTAAGCTTCATACATCTGTATTGCGTAATCCACTCCATCTGATTTCATGAATCAGGCCCGACACGTCGCACCAAGTTCTCGGTTGTCCAAATAATAGCTTTAAGGGATATCGGACCTTCGCTCAGGCGCGAGATGCGTTTTTGCGCGCTCTGGAGGCACGGGAGGTCTTAGTTGTACCTCGTTAAGATGTTCATGTCAATATCATACGGCTCGTAGCATATATTACGCGTGTTGGCTCCATGAATTCAGGCTTATCCTGCATATGAGTATGGTGGTGAACAGTAAGAGGAGTGTTTGGTACACGGTGACACGTATGCAGGTAGTGTGACAATATGACGTCGCGAAAATGTTGGTCCGCGATCTAGTATATGACCGTAACGGTGCTCCCAGCCAAGGCGGCGTGCCAAACGTCGTAAGCCTCTTTGAAATCATAGTGAACGGAATGGTATGACACAGTAAAACTAGTGATAGTCGTCACCAATGAACTGGAATGGCGTAAGTAGCTGGATCTTCGCAAAACAAAGTAACGTACCGATTTGTGAATATACCGACAGCCGAGCCGGCAGTTACCACGTAGAACGGGCCCTGGGCGCCGTTTGCTGGCCAGTGGTAATGCTCGCCTCGCATCCCGAATGCGTGGATAGTGCCATGCTCGGTGTCGGGTCCCGTAGGTTGCTCCCATAGCTCGGCTTCCACCATATTCGTGTGATAGCGATGTTGCTCAGCTATCAGTTGGATACAAGCGGGACAGACGTGTCGTGGAGGTGAACCAAATACAGAACCAGAAGCTATCGTGGAATTGTTTCTTCGCGCGGTGCGGCCACCGCTCGAATTTGAATCCGGGGTTCGTCCCGGTCTATTGCCCCGCTTCCGAGATGCTTGAGCCGGGGGATTTTCGACGTATGTGGGTGGACTCGACGATGCGCCACCCTGTGCGGTCGGGGATGGGGGCCCATTGCATGCACCGTGACACATGCATGCACAGGGTCCGCGGGTGATGTTGCTAGCGTCAAGAACGACACCATGAGCTGAGGAGAGGTCAGCTTAGCTTATACAAACACAAGGAGCACTTACCACGAAGGATAGCCTCCATTACCGTGCCTAACACTGTTGCCGGGTCGCTCACTGTTCGAGCGGACGGCTGCAAAAGTGCTATGAGAGATCGGAGATAGCAGATATGTGAGCCGAACGTACCGATCTGCCCCCTCTCTGGTTCAATTGCGACATGATAGTGCGGTGGTAGCTGGAATGAAGACTTGGAGGAGTGGATACACGAGGTTGGACTGGGGAGACTGCGCCACGCGTGGATACGTATCACGTGCCTCTGCCAGCTCGCCTTGAGTCCGTCGTTTCTCCCAACCACGGGTTTACAGCGAACATTCCCATCTCCTTGGTTGTGATGTCCACGGCCTCGGACTCTGAATCCACCGACCTCACCAAGCTCGCCACGTCCACCAACCTTGCTAGTCTCGTCTTGGATGTTTATGAGCACAATGGCTTCATCATTGACGACATGCCAGAGTACAAGCCTGGTTCACGTTGGACCTCTGCAGAAGACAGGGAATTTCTCGACGCGCGGAAATCTGGGTTCCTAGCGGCTCGCAGGGCAGGCAAGAAGAGCCCGAATAGCATCCCCCACTTCATGAAGAGGACATGGGACGCCTACTGGGAGAGGTTTCCGGAGGCTATCCGTTTCACACCGAAGGAGCTCGCAGCCGTCGGCGAGGACACCGCAGCGGCCTCCGAACTGCAAAGCTTCAATGATCGGCGCGTAAGGCGTCAGGTTGTGAGTGAACGTGTCCACGTCTTGCGGTGAATGAGGTACTTAGTTCTTCAACAGCAAATTCACCAGTGGCTCCTGAACAAGTGCCGCAACGACGGCGGATCATCGGCGGCTACGGGCTTCGACAAGCTCAAAGCTTCCAAGCCGAAGAATCTCCAGAAGGCGTGTTTCGCGTACGCTGACCTGTATCCGCAAGTCAAAGCGGATTTCGCGAGCTTCATCGCTGCTCAAGAACTCGCAGCAGGAGAGGGCGAGGGCCAAGGAACGCGCGAGGGTCAGGGTTAGAACGAAGCCGAGAGCGCGTCGAAGGCCAAAGGCAAGGGCAAGGGCAAGGATATACCGGTTAACGACTACGCACGGTGGCTCACGGAACGCCTCGAGAAGGAGTCGCCTGAGGTCAAGCAAGCGGTTGAGGATTATCGTCACAAGGCCAAACAGGGGTACGCGATGGAGCTCGCGAATCCGGGTAACGAGAGCGATCTCGATAGAGCCCTTCGTTACGATGAGTGAGTAACATGAACCGATCGCCATCGTCGTTAAACCTTAACGGCATTTTGTTCAGGGCCATCAAACGTCTACCGGAGCTTATCCAGCTTGAGGCCAAAGCGGTGAACGAAGCATCCGGCTTTATATCATTCCGGATACTTGGAGGCCCTACCCCAGGGCAGGACGGTGCTTTCACCATCGTTGCGTAAGTCCGTTGCCGCCGGCATCTTTTCTCCGTATTGACAGGCAGCAGGTGGTCGGACGGCAGGTTGCCCGATGGGCGAAGTTTCGAGGAGTTTGTCCCTGATTATCAAGGCAGTGTCTTCGTTCTGTTTGCGCAGTATCTAGACCTCCATTACTGTAAGTGTTACATCCCGTTGAATTCTACCCTTGGCTGACTGGTGTGTTGTACAGCACTAGAAGATCGTGCCAAAATATCTCTCCGGAGGGTAAACAACGAGAAGGACGCTCAGGAGTTGATCGCCTCGATGAGCGCCGCGAACCAGCAAGGCGATTCCCCACGTCAGATCACCGCTTCCACCGAGACGTCGGACACTGGATCCGTCGCCAAGCAGAAGACACCGAAGCCGAAACGCAAGCGTAAGGCAAAAGCACCCGCATACGCGAACGAGTTGGTCAAAATTCCAGCGACGAAATTCAATACGCCCTCCACAACAACCACTCCTGGACCGCGTACTCCGCACGGCGACGGCGTTGACAAGGCAATTCAAAGGTCAATATCTAACGCTACGACCACATCCTCGTCTACCTCTACATCAGCGACTACATCCGCGACCATGTCGGCATCGGCATTCACCTCCGACACTGCCCCTCGCGCGTCCAGGTCGGCGTCGCTTGTAAGCTCTATTACCGGCTCGACAACACCTTCGACAGTGTCAGAAACCACGTCTTCATCGGTGCCAATACCCGGGTTACCATTGCTTGCGGGGATGACTACACCAACCGCACCGTCTCAACGAATGAGGCCCAAACCACGTCCGATCAAGAAGTCCCGCCGTGTGGTTGATGACACCGACGAGGAAGACGATGACAGCTTCGCCGGCGTGTCTTACGCTGTTCCCAGGATTCCGCGAAGACCAGCGGCCGATGGCTTGCTCGAGGGGGGGCAACCGGACTCATCGCCTTCACGACCCCCTCCTGCCACCGCTCCCGCTGTGCTTGTGTCTCGCGCCCGCTTGCCTCCTGTCACATTCGACACTCCGCAAAGCAACGATGACGATGAGATGTGGGCTCACTTCGCCCCCACCCCAGACCCCGCCTTAATCTCTCCCAACCGCGACTCTCATACCATGCAAAAGGACTCTACTCCGCGCGCCGAAAGCGACCGCACGCCATGTCCTTCACGTGCTGCCGCGGCAAACGCGTCAATGTCGTCAATCCCGGAGTACCCACCCAGGCAAATGGCATACTTGGCCCTCGTCGCTGCCTCCCGACCGAAGACAATTGAGTCATGTTCAGACGCTCCGAACTGGTTGAAGACCGCCATTGCTCATCTCCGACTTCCGACAAGCTGGCGACGGACTACGTGTTATGAGACGCTTATCCCGGCCTTTGAAGCATACGAAATCGCCGAAGGATTCGCCGGCGGCGAGCGTGATATGGTATGTTGTATAGGGGATGCTTCATGCGTGAACTGACCATACTTATTTGTGCAGCGCAACTATCCGACCTACAAGCTGCGTCCTCGCGCCGTCGGGTGGTGGCAAAACAATAAGCGCGGGGTGGACCGTATACCCGTCATCGACGAGATGCCTGATTTCCTCGTCAACTTCGTCGGATGGTATAAATTCCTGAACCCGAAGTGGAGGGGGGAATCGATGCCGTTCGCACGGACAGAGGGGAAAATCTATTGGGGCAGTCTTCCTTGCAACGCAAAGAATGGATTCTACCTCCTCATCATGACGCTTAAATGGGGCTTTTTCAATGCCAAAACGGATGAACAGTTCGCGACGCTCGAAGAAATTGCGGGTGACATGGAATGGTCACTCAAGGCCATGACCGCCGTTTTGCTTGATCCACACCTTCAAAGTCGGATGAACGATCCGGCGTTGGACAGCCTCCCGCTGGACGACGATGCAGCTGACAACGAACAAGACGACAACGACTCTGAGGAAGTCGATGCGCCGCCCAAGAAGAAGGCAAAACGAGCCGCGGCTCCTCGCCGTTCATCGCGGTGAGTAATTGATCTATTGCCTTGCCCATTTCCGACAGTGTCCTAACCTGCATACAACTCAGTACCAAAGTCGCCGCGAGCGCTTCAACGTCGGTGAACAAAGCGAAGAAGGGGGCGAAGACGAGGTGAGTGACTCTTCATCCATGTCCGCCTTAGACATCAAGAGCTCATCATCATGATAGGTCTCGCTAGGTGCCTTGGATATTGTAGATTCCGCTACGAACGAACACGACCACGAAATACTTATCGCTACCATGAACATTTCAATCGTCGACACCTATCGACACGACAACTGCCACCACTGCATGATCAACCACTTCCATTGCTATCGTATATTCCGCCGCCGCCGCCGCCGCCGCCGCCGCCTCCGCCTCCGCCTTCGACGTGCCGCCACTTTCGCGTTATCATATTCCCCGCCGTCGAGGCCTCCGTAATACCGCCGCCGCCGCCTTTAACGTGCCGCCGCTTTCGCATTATTTAACTCGCCGCCGTCAAGGCCTGCGCCATTCCGCTGCTGTCATATACTCAACACGCTGCCGCCGCCGCCGCCGCCGCTTTGGCCCTATTTAACTCGCTGCCGTCGAGCCTTCCGTAATGCCGTCGCTGTCGCATACTCTACACGCCGCCACCGCCACCGCCGCCGCCGCCGCCGCCGCTTTCGTGTTATCAAACTCCCCGCCGTCGAGGCCTCCGCAATACTGCCGCTGCCGCCACCTTTAACGTGCCGCCGCTTTCGCATTATTTAACTCGCCGCCGTCAAGGCCTGCGCCATTCCGCCGCTGTCGTATACTCAACACGCTGCCGCCGCCGCCGCTTTGACCTTATTTAACTCGCCGCTTCCGTAATGCCGTTGCTGTCATATACTCTACCCGCCGCCGCCGCCGCCTCAACGTGCCGCCGCTCTTGCGTTATCAGACTCGCCACCCGCATCCCTCACATGCTATCTGCAAGTAGCTTCAACAGCTGCAAGTTATCGTTAATTACCTCTTGATACAGGCTTTTGCTACGCAACGTTTACTGAGATGCTTTCGTTTTTACCACGTTTATGTGAATGCCTTTATGATATATCTAAGACGTACATACATCTTCTGTATCTTAAACCATCCCCTCATATGGGTAATGTCAACCCGTCTAATCCCAAGTATCGATCAGAGATAAGTTTTGGCGCAAGTCCACGCTCCCGCGTTTCTCCGTATGTGCACGTGCGCTTCGGCATCCGCCGTATCATCCAAGTGGCCAATCAAATAAAACGGCCTTAGTCGTACGGTTGCTAAGATCACGTGATATCAATCAGGATGCCTATATTACGATGCGCCCTCGCTTACCGCTCCTTGTCCTGAACCACGATCATCCCCCTCCGGCGTGAGGGGGCTCTCTGTCCACGCAGCGGCTCCTCGATTTGTTTGTCCATTCCGTGGTCGCCCAACATGAACGCTGGTGTCGTCGGAGCGGGCAATGATATATCTTCCATTGGGCGACACCTTGGCGCTGTGGAGCGTCGATCTTCAATTGTCTATGGTGCGCGCGTTACTTCCATGTTGCCCTTCTGACGATTGATCTACCGCTGCGCCTAGGCCGTCTCATGTTCACGTCGTTTCATCGATGATGAATGGTCTGTTGGTCTGCCGTAGTGGTGTTGCGAGCGTTGGACGCCGCTCGAACTCGGGTATCCCTTACCCGCGGAGGGCGACTTCTGTGGGCCTCGAGTGATTGAGGCTGGGTGGTTGGAAGGTGCGTCTCTTTCTTCGTGTACGGAATGTGTATTGCTCACTGTTGGCTTGTCTAGGTTCCTCCGCTTACGCGTTCCCGCTCCCTCTGTTGAAAACCTGTTCGCCTCCCGCGATGGTCGATTGTCTGTCGGATATTAGTCTATGCCGTACCCGTCGCTCTGCAATGATTATGCAAGTTCAATGCTTGAAGTTCGTCACGGCATGCGGTGGCTTCTGTGATGTGTGAGGGTGGCCCCCCCTTCATAGCGGGGGGTTGTGTGTTCATGAAGTGCATTTTTGTTGGCACGTCGACCTACCATATAAGTCTTTTGATCACCTGTGAAGTGATGCATATCTACTTGGTAGGTCTGGTCTTCCTGCTGTATTTCGGCGTGATTGACATGTCTCTGTAGAGCTCTGGTTTGCGGCCGAGATGTGGGCCCGAGCGGCATGATTGACGACGTCTGTTTGCAGTATTGCTTGGGATTGCAATGACGAGTTCCGAAGTCGTTACCGCAGATGCCCTTCCGCTTTGGAGGTGTTTGCTCGAAGCTGTGCACGCCACGTGTGGTCATCGTGCCGGGTCGCATTCGCATTTTCCCTCGACCGTTGCGTCAACGAATACGTCGACATCGCTTCTGCCTCTCGCAATGGGACGGATCTCTAACTTTCTTTCATGGCCTCTGTGTGGGCACCTCCGCATCGCGAGGCGGATGCTTATCCTTCTATCAGGACCTTTGCTTTCGACGCTGGTCAGCTCGTAGTGGTGGTACGGACCTGCATCCTTCCTCAAGACTCTTGCGTTCGCGGACGCGACAACGCGACCTCCTCTCATCGCGAGGGGCAGGGTGGATGCCCGTCCTTCTCACGAGACCTTCGCCGTCGGCACTGGGTCTGGTCATTGCGATCGCCCGGACCCGGACTCATACTCTTCCTCAACGCCATCGCATCGACGTGTTCATCGACTTCGCCTCTGACCATTGCAAGGAGCCGGATGCCCAGCTTACTTTCCAGACTCCGTCGATATCGTGCATCGTCATCGCGCGGCGCACAACTCACGTCATTCTTGGGAGACCTCCGTCGATGCCAGTCCGGTCATCGCGGTGGTTCGGACCCGCATCCTTCCTCAAGACCCTTGTGTCGGCGCACACAACGACGTGATCTCCTCCCATCGCGAGGGACAGGGTGGACACCCATCCTTCTCAAGACCTTCGTCATCGACGCCGAGTCTGGTCATCGCAGCGGCCCGCACCCGCACCCCTCCTCAAGACCGTTGCGTGGACTTGTTCGTCGACATGGCCTTCCTGTTGACATGTTCGTCGACGCGGCCTTTGTGGTGGACATTGCCCGCATTTGTCGACGCGGCCTCCAGCCAAGTCCTGACTACAAAACCGTCCTTCAAGATACTCGTCGCGGATGTGCTCCTCGCCACCGTCCCCGGACCGTTGCTGGCATCAATGCTTCTCTCTCTCTCAAGACCTTTCATCGTCGACCCGTTCGTCGATGCCACCTTGCCGGGTGCGGCATGTTTTCATCCACGCCGCCCCTATGTACGCTCTTTGCGTGCTCGGATGGGACACCGTAGTTTTTTGTGATTATGACTAGTTCATGTACCGTAAGATATGCGTAGTCGCCCTGTGTAACATAAGACCAATGAAGTTGTGCACGTGACCGGGAGGAGAAGGCGGTTGTGTGGTACAGACTACATTTCGTGTACCAGGCAGCCCATGAACATTTGTCAATGTCTCCTGTGTACAGTGTCGTGTAATGAAAATCTGTCGAACACTCCTTATGTACACAGTTTCCGTACACATGGTGAAAATCTGTCGAACACTTCTTGTGTACACAGTTGCTGTACACGCGGTGAAAATCTGTCGAACACTTCTTGTGTACATAGTCGCTGTACACGCGGTGAAAATCTGTCGAACACTTCTTGTGTACACAGTCGCTGTACAGACCGCAGACCGGCATGTACAGACCATCTACCTGTCTCACAGACTGCCTGTACAGGATCAGGGGCTGTGCATTTATCATGATTTTCTCCACATGGCACACTGAAAATTATCAGTTTTTTGTACATAAGCAAGTGCCAGGGCTGTGCGGCTGGAGTACTCTCCTCCCGAGGTGAGCGATATAGAGATCATCCCAGATCGCGCAATGATGCTTGCGTGGATCGATGGGGGTATTGAGCCAGCGTCTGCGAATCTCGATGTCATATGCGAGCCAGACAGGCCAGACGTTCTCGCTGCTGACGCCGCGGCGCAGGCGAATGTTCTCGTGATGGGTGAACCAGTCCAGGTATTCGTGAGGGAGATACTCCTCAAACAACTGGAGGTAGCGTTGCCACGCTTGGAGCCACTCGGCGAACGAAAGTTGCATCTCACCTTCCGGCGAGAGCGGCTGCTGAACTGGGACTAGGCCCCCGGATTCGATCTGCCACAGATTTGCCAGGTTCGCGTTCGTGTTGATGCCTTGGGCCATGCAGGCAGCGTCCATGAGGTGATGAAGAGGTACGTGCCTCCTGTGGCCCCTCTCGAAAATGTCACATATTTGTTGAGGAATGACGTAGTAGTTGACGTCTGCTACGACCCCGGCGACACGTGCCGGCCGGCCTCGCGATGATAATGGGATCGGAGAGGCGTGCACGGTCGGGAACTCGTTGACGTGACGAGCCTGTTGACGGGGTGCCGCCCTGGGTGCCGTGGACGAAAGACGTGGGTGTCGTGCGGCCCCACGCCCTGGGCAGGGTTGGTCGCCAGAGTCTTCCAGCTCATCCGGCTCTGGGCTGGGCGACTCTGACCCGAATTCGTGGTTGGTGCTCTGATGCCCTGGGATTTTCTGTGAGTCCGCTGGACCGGTAGCAGGTGTGCCGAGGAAGGGGCTAGCAAGAATGTATGGCTCGAGCTGTAGCAAGGATGTGGAGGTGTGTAGCAAGAACACGAGCAAGGTGGTAATTTACATCTGGTAAGAAGGCCGGGAAAGCAAGGAAGGAGGCATGTTGAAGGACTCAGTGAGGTGTATTGCTCACCTGATGATGTCGGGGGAGGGAGCGGTTGTGTCTCTGCCCGTGCCCGCGCCGAGCGAAGTGATTCTCTCCCTCTGCTCTCCGAGCATGTCTGCAGCCTTTGCGAGTTCGTACGTTGGCTAGGTGTCCGCGAGTGAGAGCGTGTGGACACGGACGGGAGGCTTTGCTCTTGGGTCTCGGCTAAGCCTTGCCGTTCTGAGTCCTCGTCTTCTGTGTCCTGGACGCGACCTTGGAGGTGTTCGTTGTTCTCCCTGTCCGTGTAAAGGGCTGTGAAAGACGGGTGATCGATGAGTTCATCCTTGCAATCGAGCAAGGCCTGCTTCGTCCGTGCCTTGAGGTCGTGGACGTTCCCTCCAGGGTCGACGCCGAGGGCTTCCACCAGTTCGACCAGCGCTGCCCGGTTGAGCCGATAGTGGGGCTTGTTAAAGGGGTTGTCCCGCGGGGCCCACGGAGGCATGTCTCAGATGGCTAGTGTCGAGTCAATAATATGCTGAAGCTACTACTTGCTGTACCCTAGCTGCTAGTCAGGCTCCTAAACCACTGCTCGTATTGCGTTGTAGCTCCTGGGCGTGACGTGAGGCTTAATTCTATCAAGTCCCACCGGTTAGGGGATGATGCCAAATAGAGTAATGCTTCTTGATTATGAGAGATTCATATGCCTTCCTTTTTTTGATGCGGAAACCAGGAGCACAACACGATAGAGCGGCTGGCCAAACTTGCAATTTCAAATTGCGGCACGACTCGGCGAACTCACACGGCTTGCTCGGCACACCACAGAGACCTACCGTAGGGTCTTGTCGAAGTGCAGAACACGATTTATTTTCATGAGTTCCAGCGTACTTCGACATCATCGTAACACATGGCATCCACTCATGCTTCATTTGCACACACGCTGTCAACTTCTGCATCCAAACTACCACGTAAATGGACCGAAGAACAAGTACGGGCAGAGGTGGAGATGCCAACTCAGCTACATTTGAAGTACTTCTACTTTTACAGAATCGAATGTAAGCTGTACTGATGAAGTCTTAGGAGATCCGTGCCTTGAAATACTGCGTGCTTGTCATGAATCCAGAGCTGTTGCACGGAGAGAAGAGTCCGTTTCAGAAGTTATGGGTGCATTCACCATTTATACGAAACCTAGCGTACTTTGTGTACGATGAGGCCCACTGTGTCGCCCATTGGAAGGATTTCCGTGCAGATTACCTTCAATTGGGCTCAACCCGTTTTCTTGCAGAGAATACAGTCCCTACCCTCGCGGCTTCCGCAATCATGGATCACTGGACACAATCTGAAGTATCGCGAATTCTACACCTGCGACCAGATAAGACTACACAAATTATTCAGAGTAACGACCGACCGAATATCCATATCGCCGTCCAACGGATTGAGCACGCAGCAACAAGCTATCGTGATCTAGATTTCCTTATCCCAGAGGGGACAGACGAGGACCACCCCCCACCAAAGTTTGTCATCTGAAAAAACCCAAATTTATATAGCTGCCCCTTTGAACTATTGTTGCTATAGTAGCTCTATGTGCACTATGGAGTGATCAGCTAGCTGCTATGGAGTGCTATGTAGACTATGACAGTTGCTATGGGGTGCTATGTAGACTATGATGGTCGCTATGGGGTGCTACATAGCAATTTATAGCTTAATACACCAGCTATATAGCAATGCATAGCTCATAGTGACATCAATATAGCACCCATAGCTTTGGATATATGTCTATATAGCATACATAGTTTTGGTACATACTTATATAGCAACTATAGCAGACTTTCCAACTCACACTATGTTATGATCCATTAGTTTTGAGGTAATAGTCAGCCTGTACAGTGAAGTATGAGGGCCATAGTATCATATAAGCTTATATACATACATTCTAATTAACCATGGCACAGTATTAGGGTCAATGTGGACTTAGCAAAAATCGGGTTTGGACCAACGGTCACGTGACCGATGTTGACGTGGCCCATTGACACCAACCAACGGTCACGTGACTGATGTTTGACGCGGCCCGTCAACACAAGTCCACGCCCCTGCCCCCGCACCCTCGCCCTCGACAAGCTGTGATCCTTGTCGACGCTCCCTCGCCTCTGCCTCTTCGACCAGCCCAGCTGGGCTGGTCGAGCCCACACCCTTCGAACAGCCCTGAGCGCGAGCCGCCAACGCGGTCGCGCTCGGCGCAGCTTCCGCCCCCGCCCTCACCTGTCGACCAGTCCCTCGCCCGAGCCGCCAACGCGGTCGGGCGTCGCCTCTCGCCCCATGGCTCCCACCCCGCGTCCCACCTTCTGCCAGCCCCCTCACCCGCCTTTGACCAGCCACGAGCCCGAGCCGCCAACGCGGTCGGGCTCGGTGTCGCATCTCACCCCGCCCCCGCCCTTTGACCCGCCGCCCAGCCCGAGCCGCCAACGTGGTCGGGCTGGTGCTCACTACCCAACACCGAGCCGCGAGCCGCCAATGTGGTCCGGCTCGGCGTCGGCTCCTGCCCTTCGACCCGCCGCCCAGCCGGAGCCGCCAACGCGGTCGGGCTCGGCGTCGCATCCCATCCTGCCCCCGCCCTTCGACCCATTGCCCAGCCCGAGCCGCCAACGTGGTCAGGCTCGGTCTTGCCTCTCGTGCCCCGCGCCCCGCGCCCACCTTCTGCCAGCCCCAAGCCCGAGCCACCAAAGTGGTCGGGCTCGACGTCGTCTGCGCCGACAAGCCCCTCAAGCAGCCGCTCGAGGGCATTGAGACTATCCACAACTGCGTCCTCTATGCCGCGCGGACGCACGGGACGAAGAAGGCGCTTGGCTGGCACGACGTCGTCGACATCATCAAGGAGGAGAAGGAGGTGACGAAGAACGTCGGCGGGAAGGAGGTCAAGGAGACGAAGAAGTGGAAGTACTTCCAGCTGAGCAACTACAAGTACTTGAACTACCTCGAGGTCCAGGAGGCCGTGTCTGAGGTCGCAAGGGGACTCGTCGACCTCGGCGTCACCGCAGACGACACCTTCAACGTCTATGCGTCTACCAGGTGCGTCCGACAAGCGTGTATCTCCCTTTACAGGTACTGAATGGGCGCACCGTTCAGCCTAAACTGGCAACTCGTCGCGCACACCTGCGCGTCCATCTCCACAGCCATCGCAACTGCCTATGATTTGCTAGGCGAAGCCGGCCAGACGCACTCGCTCAACGAACTGAACTGCGGCGGTGTCTACACCGACGCCGAACTCCTCCCCGTTCTCGCCAAGGTCATCGGCAACACGCCCTCGCTCCGGATCGTGATCTACTCCGGCGAGGCCAAGCCCTCCGTGCTTGACTCCATCCAGCAGATGAGGGAGAACATCCAGGTGCTCACCCTCAACGAGCTCCATGCGGGGAAAGCCGCTCTCCCCCGACACGACCAAAGATCGGTTCCCAACGCCGTCCTCGGTCGCGTGCATCATGTACACCTCGGGCACGACCAGCGCGCCGAAGGGCATCGTCATCACGCACTCGGACGCGATCGCCGTCATCGGCACCTTGTACAAGCTGCTCGGGCACCACTTCAACACGGACGACGCCTTCCTCGCCTACCTCCCGCTCACGCACATCCTCAAATACATCGTCGAGCTCTGCCTCTTCTTCGTCGGCATGACCATCGGCTACGGCCGCATCAAGACGCTGACGGACCAGTCCATCCGCGGCTGCTCCGGCGACATGGTCGCGTTCAAGCCGACGATCATGGTCGGCGTTCCCGCCGTGTGGGAGCTGATCTGGAAGGGCATCGTCAGCCAGGTCCAGAGCGGGGGCGCGGTGACCAAGAGCGTGTTCTCCGGCGCGTTGACCCCTGCCCCCTCCCAGGTGCAGTAACACGCGGCTCAGAATGTGGTTCAACCCTCAAGTCCGCTCATCGGAACATCAAAACCACCCTCAACAAGCCGCGACCCCGCTGCCTCCCCCGTCCCCGCTGCCTCCCCCGTCGACGAGCCTGGCACGGCTCCCACCCCATCCCGCGCCCGCCTTTGACCAGCCCCGAGCCCGAGCCGCCAAAGCGGTCAGGCTCGGTGTCGCCTCTCGTGCCCCGTGCCCCACGCCCGCCCTCTGCCAGCCCCGAGCCCGAGCCGCCAACGTGGTCGGGTGTCGCATCTCACCCCTCACAGCCACCCTCGCCTCCGACGCTACCTATGTATGGTTATGTTTGTGTGAGATGCTTACGTAAGCTGGCTGGTAGCACTAGGAGTGTAATCTTGTAGACAGTTATGCAATTCAAATATTTGCTTTCAAAATTAATCATTATTGAAGTATTTTAATTTCTTGTCTGATTAATCATAGCATCTACTGAGCATATGATGACTACCAAATTGCCATAGTATCTGTAATGCCCATAGCATTGGCTCTGTGCTATATAGCCATGGCAGTGTGATCTATAGCACCCATAGCACTTTATAGCACTGGCAGGTACCTCTATAGCAACTGCAGGCAGCTCCATAGCACCCATACAAATTGACATTGCTATGAAACTATGGATGCTATATTGGACTATGTAGTGCTGTATAGTCATGGGATTTTTCTCAGATGGTTGTATTCCACGACAGCTGCTTAGAAGCAGAGGGTGCAGCTAAACAATTGTGTGCACGCCTGCCGTTACACCTTAAGGAAAAGGTCAAGTGGTTCCACTCACGTATGTCACCAGAATTCCGAGAACAGGTTATGAACCAGTTCAAGGATGGTACCATTTGGGGTATATCTGCGACGGATGCCTACGGCATGGTAAGTGGTCAGTTCGTCGCCAGAATCCAGCTCATTGGAGAACTGCAGGGAATGGATCAACATGGGATTCAAATTGTAGTACAATATCGAGCACGTCTCACCACGGAAGAGCTTCAACAACGGAGTGGACGGGCAGCCAGAGGTGTTGACGAGATGGGCTTCTTTCTCCTCCTTGCAGAGCCGAAGCACTTTGATTCGGAGAGAGAATGGGCAGTGAAGGCGAAGGTGAAGAGACAGCAAGCAAGCAATAAGCGGAAGGCGGCGGTGGACAGAGACACTCCAACAAGAGCTCCAGCAAAACGTGCTCGAAAGGAGATGGCAGCGGATGAACGAGCACACCAGACTGACATTCGTACATCCAGTACCGGAAACAGTAATGAGAACCGCAATCCCTCGTTGGATGAACAACGTGAAGAGCGACATCAGCTCTATCATGCACTTCGCAAGAGCTCCGCTGTTGAAGCAAAATCCAAGGACGAACTTGACCTGACTGTCGACAATTTGATCAATGCCCATAGTCGCGCTGAGTGGAGATGTCGACGTGAGCCTCTTCTTGAATGTTTCGACGCAAAGGAGAGTCAGAAAGGTGTGCTACATATCATAGTCACATGCTTACTCTCACACCTTCATTAGCATCTGACCATCAGATATGCGACTCTTCCAAAGCCGGTGGTTGTCTGCGCTGTGCTCCACGCATGCCTGTTTCCTGCTGCGACATCTGTGATCCTGGACAGTACGCAAAGCTTGGAACAGTCCCGCCGCCCAGGAAGCCCACTCCTGGAATGCGCCGTGTAACGATCAAGCCTTACACCTCGGACGATCACGACAAAGCTTTGTGCAATGCCCTCTTTGCTTGGCGGGAGGAAGCGGGTCGCAGAGCGCTGGGCGATGGCGCATTCGAAATTTTCAGCTCTGCGCTATTCTTCTCAGATGCGCTGGTGCGACGTATCGTGGACTGCGCCCACTATGGCAAGATCAAAACCACTGAAGATATCATATGAGGGACGCGCTGGCGCTCAGATCATGCCAACACATTCGGTCACGAAATCCTCAAACTTATCGTCAATTCAAGACCACCCAAAGAAGCTCTGGAGAACGAGACTCGGCTTGCAACATCAGCTCGGGCAGGTCGTGCGCGACAGTCTCGGTCGGTCGACAATTGCACGGCCTGCGGAGGCAATGGCCATAGTAAGCATCAGACTATGGTCATGCACATCTACTGACATTTCTGCAGAGAAGTCTTCAAAGCAATGCCCGAAACACCCAAGTAATCGTGCCCAGCAATCCGACCTTCCTCAAACTGACAAGGAAAACCTCTCAAACATATCGATGAACCACACTGGCAGCTGTACGTTCATTTTTCCTTCTTCGACTCTTTGCTAATGCGAAGCAAGCAGACCTTGTAAGCACAAACGCCGGCATCACGAACATCAATTCCCGGGAGGTGCCACGTCGCGACGCGCCACACAACGCGGCCTTCAACGCGGAGAGTCGCCCACAACATACCGAAGCCAACATCGCCCAGCATACAACGCACGAACAGCCATACGTCATCGGCAAGGAGTTCGTCATGGACCTGGCATTCGTGCCGGGATCCACGGCAATTCCTTCGACGAGTGCCACCAATTGTTTCGTCCACGGTGCGTACACCATGGCACACACAAATGTTCGCGTCGACGCACCCTCGCAACTCAGCGCGCAGGGAAATACATACGCAGGCCACCTTGCGACGTCCACCATCGATTTGTCAGGGCACAGAGGGATGCGGATTCAGGTCGGAGGTTGGGACCAGCAGGTGCGTTGCATTCACACCCACTAACACACAAGTCCTCGTACTAACTGATGCTTTCATTTTGCAGTTGAGCCTTCCATCTGAAGACGCAGGGCCTCGCAACCTTCCGCGACATCAACCGTCGCTGCCCCATCACTTCCCTCCTCCACCTCTGCAAGTTCATCCATTCTCATTTCAACATCCACACGATCCGACGCCATACCACCAGCCGCCAACGTCTTCGACGATGACCTCGAATGGCGCCGATCTCCCCGTCCATGCGACGCATCTCGCAACGCACACCGTTGCATCCCACTCACGCAACACCGGTCGCGATGTCGCAATTGCAATCCCTCGGCAAACGATACACGAACAGCCATTCATTATCGGCGAAGAGTCCGTCATGGATCTGGCACCCATGCCAGGATCCACAGCGATTCCTCCAATGAGTGCTGCCGATTGTTTCGTCCACAGCGTGTTCACTACGGCACACGCGAACGTTTGCGTCGACTCACCCTCGCAACTCGGCATGCAGGGACATACATACGCGTGTGGCCTTGCGACGCCCATCATCGACTTGTCCAGGCACAGAGGGACGCAGATTCAGGTCGGAGGTTGGGACGAGCAGGTATGTCGCATTCATAACCGCCGATATGCAAGTCCTCATACCTAACTAATGTTTTTATTCCACAGCCAAGTCTTCGATCTCAAGACGCAGGACCTCGTCACCTTCCACAACATCAACCGTGGCTGCCACATCACTTCCCTCCTCCGCATGTGCAAGTCCATCCGCCCGCAAACCATCATCTGGAAGATCCGTCATACCGCCAGCCATCGACATATTCAATATCAAGTCTGCCATCCTGTCTGCCATCGCGTTGGGGATAGGATGCTTCGCCTTGCAACCTTTCACGTGTTCGTTAGTCCGGTTAGATCTCATGTATGCCGCCAGCTGTTCGAACGTCCGTCTCATGTCCGGGGTTGCATGTTTGGTAGACCGTCGGTCGAGCAGGAAGATCTGTTCAAATTGCCCACAAACGTGTTGGTATGCCGCGATGAGCGGCGATTCTTTGAGGATGTGGTTGACAGTGCGGTTGGAGAAACTCCCACCGTATATGTTCTGCTCTCGCATTAGCACTAACCCATAGAACTCTGTGTGCAAAGCTCAGACCTTGATATACAGATTGTTCAGCTCAACAAGCCAGTCAATCGGACGCCGTGAATTCCGCTTGCCGGTAGGATTACACAACATATTCTTCTGGATTGCCTGTCTGGAACACGACATGAGCAGGATCGGCATGTATTCCGTTTGAATGACGCACCTCAAGCCCTCCAGATAGACAACGTGGAGGTCATGGAGGAAGGTAATGATATGATTAGCATATTTATGCTTTCCGCAGCCTTTGAAGATGAAGGCCCAAGGTACCATGCAAAGTTCGACACGTCCGATATCTCCCACGTTGAGTGCGTATGTGAGCTCCTCGTAGAGGAGAAAGTACTGCTGACGGAGTAATAGGTTCTCTCACTCCTGATTGCGCAATGCGATGGGCAGCGCATTCAAGGTATTGCGGTGAAATTGCCGATCCGCCACGTTATTGCGTGCAAGCTCGTAGGAGAGCTTTACGACGTCATCCCAACTTGGATTCGACACCGCCCAATCTTCCAACGATGCATATTGAACAGCTTGAGCTTTGATTCACCAACAATCGACTCGAGACACGGTGCCGATATGTTGTATGACCTCGTGCATCCGGCGAAAGCCTGGGCCCGTCTTGCTTGTAAAAGTACCTGTGTCCCTTGGTCGGATTTGTGCGATGTGATTGATTAACAAATTAGGGTCATCTCGCGAGCTGGACGGCATCAAGAAGATCTTCCAGATTGCATCCGCGCATGCCATCTTAAGGTGAAACAGACCCATGACGAAGATGAGGGACCAGAATTGCACCGATGGTGAGTCTTTGATGGATCTTGAGGCTTGAATCTGATGGATCCGCTCGCCTGTGAGCAAATCACCATGCACCAAGACGACATATTCCGCGATATTGCGCAGACCAGGTATGTCACCCAAACCACTTTGCCTTAAAAATGCGACCAATGCATCAATGTTCCCTTGGATTGTCCCCTGCGGGTAGTTTTCGGCCCGTAACGGCACCTGTTTTGTCTGCGCAATCTCCTCATCTGGTACTGGCTTGTTGACTATCTCCAGCTCCCCTAACTCCCTACGGAAGTGGTGGAAGTTCTCCACTTGGGTGACGAGATCACGTCGGAACATCCAGGCATTGAATCGTTGGCGCCTTGTCAGGCGCGATGGGTAACGTGCAGTCTCCGGATGTAGATTACTGAGCTTCAGATAGTCGGTCTCCATTCTTGCTGTGCCAGCTTCAATGGCCAGGACATTGTAACGTTGTCGTGCACCAAATCTGTTTGGCGCTCGGACATAGCCAAAACACCCAAATTCACAACGTACTGTGATCACGTGATTAGAAAGTCGTGACGCGTAGACGCCATACCCATAACATGCGTTCAGGAACAGGCAACCCCCACCGTACTCACCAACTACCCAGTCAGCATGCAAGTGTTTAAAGCAATTGCCAAACATATATGGCGTAGTCTAACAAGATGGGCGAAGCCCTTCGCTGTCGATCCTCACCTACTCGAACGCACTCCGCTAGCCGATAACGAGACCACTGCGCTTCTCGCACAGGCCGAGAGGTCGTCACTCCCTCAGTACATCAGGGTTCTGTTTCCGCAGTGCCCCAAAAAGGTCAACCACATCGAGGTCCACATCACTACTACTGTCGAATTTGTACCAGAATACCAAACACGCCCGCCCAGAGCTTCTCCCTACCAGCCTATCGAGGCAGCCGACCTTTTCCTTCGCGCACCTCCTCTATGTTTGCAGTTCGTAGCACTCAACCTGTGGCTACATGATCCACGAATCTTCTTCCTACTCGACGGTCCTCCATTTACTACCAACCTCCTGCAGCCCGGCAACGTAATACGATTATGTCTTATGTTTGGAAACAAGATAATGGCCGCTAGCGCCTGTATCTCTTACATCCTAGAAGAAAAGGTCGGAGACTACATCATCTACGTCACGCGGCTACGCAAGAGATACCGCTCGCACGACAATATCTTTGGGCAAATGGCCGACGCGTACTATCGTATCGCCGCTTCAAGAAGCCGTATGCCCGTCGATTCAGGAGTAGGATACCTCGTCGTTGTCGCCAAGTATGGCGACAATAAGCGCGAACCACAGCTGCCTCCCATCAAGAAGGAATATGGACCACTTCCCTTCGGCTGTCCTGTTGCCACCGCAAAACTAGTGGTTGCTACCAACGTCACTTTACATCTACAACGACACTCCCTTCCTCTCCTCCCTCTCAACGATCGACGCCTCCGCCCTGAAAACATACCCGTCAATATGACCCGCTCGTCCCTATTTATGGGTCACCCATGCTTATATCCCCTGATAGCCGACTATATCGAGGGGAAGGATAACACCGCTCTCCAAATATTGGAGGAAGAATCCCGCGCCGCCCTTTGAACTAGGCATCCAGATACTGGACATGCCTTTCTTGCAAGAATATTTATGGTTACGATAACCGCATGATAAGATTTCCCTTTGTATAAGTATATTTCTGATCTTGGACTAGTGTCGTTTCAGATTCGTGTATATTGTTGCCCATTTGTATATTGCTCACTCCACACTTCGTATATCGCCAGGAACTTCGTATATCGTCAGGACCCTCGTATATCGTCAAGAAACTCGTATATCGTCATCGTCTAGTAGATCGTTAGTCCCTCGTATATCGTCATCGTCATCGTGCTCGTATATCGTCTTAGGCTGTTTCATGTTTGTGTTTTGTACTAGTACCCAAAATAGATAGATTGCAAGTACCTCGTTTCAACCTCTCATATATCGCCTATTGCCACCTCGTTTATCAAGTAGATCGTTCGTTAGAACTAAAGAGTTGTATATGAACTGTCGTATATAGTTCGTTTCAGAAGTAACATAGCCGCGACCCAGTAGGTATAAGTACTGTCTTTGTAGTAGTAATGAGCAAGTACTCTTTTCCCCTCGAATCTGCCCTCCCCTATAGTGCTAAGTTGCACTATATTCGTCTATCCACTGCAATAGTTGCAGTATTGTCGTCTGCTTTATCTTCCCTTACATTCTCTGGAGCTCACTAGTGGAGCCCATCCTAATTTAGTCTTTGACCTTCCTATTTAGGTCATCCTCTCCACATCCTCTTCGCCTCTGGTGCACAGCCATTCTACACAACACATCCCTCACCCGAACAAATCAGGCGATCTCCCGAGTCTCTC